CACAGGGCCTTCTTCTCAGGGGAGGTAGAGTGACACAGACATTCTCAAAATATGTTGATGGTGTGGATTGGGTTTTATTAGCAAACATCACATATGAATAGCAGTGTGTAATGATCAGCTGTAAGTGTCAGCAATTTAGGCTCCAGTGCTTCCACTCAACACTAAGCATGAAATTTTAATAAAGGATTTGTAGATGGTGTTAGTCTGAGGTCGTCAGTTCTCTCTGAGTCAGGGAGGTTTTCCTAGACCACCCTGGTTGTTTCTGATTTGCCCAGAGCAGATGTGAAATAATGAAGTTCCATAATGGATGTAGCTTCAAGCCCCGCCCAGCATATCAATTCTGCTTGTTCTGATGGACAGTCCCATATAACCTGGACATGCTAAGTCCTACCTTTCTGGAGAGTTCAGGTAACCTGTTGTCCATGAGCTGCTCTCCCAAAAGATGCATGTGATGGAGGTGACTCTGTGACAGGAATAGGAGGACAAGATTACTTCCAATTCTTCATACTATTTTGAACATGGCATCAGACCACTTGATTACTTTTGCTTATTCGAATTGTCCTACTGTGTCCATGTAGAGGGGACAGTGGGAGTGCCTATTTACTGGTCATTGAGAAACCTTCCTCAGTTTTCCCTAGGTGCTTTCAGGAGCCATTTCATGTTGCTTGTAGAAAAACAATATGAGAATAAAATGTTGAGAGAAATAACATAAATTATTATCTCTTAGGTGCTCAGTTCAGTTTCAAATTAAAAAGCCAACTTTTTCAGACCATTCTACAGATATCCACTGTCCAAGTCCAGTTGATGCCAGTGGAAAAGTGACTTACATAATTTGCTTGGCATTATTACATAGGGGAAGTGTTGTTCAAGTAGATAAATGCCATTGTAATAACATCTTCAGATGAAGGACATGCAAACATCCCCATAATATGTCAAAATAGACAATTACATCCATCCTCATTAAGATGTACACAGTGATAATGGAGGATGAGGGTGAAAAACACAGGGATGAACCAGTATAAGAAGCATTATATATTCTTAGGGAAATAACATGAGGAAACACCTGGACAACTATTTTAAACTATAAAAACTTTAAATAAAGTGATCATCTCAAAAAATGATGCAGATATTTTTATTGATCACCAAGTCTGGCTTAGCCTGTGTCTTGGGTCTAAAATAAATCTCAATGATTATTCTAGAGATGGAATCCCACTGAGAGGTCTTCTGGCCAACACATAGCATTGCATCACACTTCCTGAGAATCTAGTCACAGTGACCACAGCAGAGCAATTTCTTCCCATATACACAAGACTTGGACTTTGGCTAAGGGGATAATGTGTTATTAAAAGAAATCTCCTCTAAAACAAATTCAGGTTATTATACATATGTAATTATAAATGTCACAAGGAAATGCCCTCTACAACAATCTTTAACACAAATGTCATTTTTTCAATTACAAAATCAGAAAACATGAGGGTGCAACAGGTCCTGCCTGGAGCATGGGGAAAAGGGTAGACAATTGTCGATAATAGTGTAAATACTGTGTACACATTTTTTTAAAAAAAATTACACCTGTTGAAGCTATTTCAGGAATGGGGATAAAGGAGAGTGGTGGAGGGGTTGAGTTCAAGTATGATCTATTTGGTATATTGTAAGAACTTATGTAAATACCACAACATACCCCCATCCATCACAACAATAGAAATAGTAAAAAAATAAAACATATAGGTTTTGTTAGGAATCACAGATGATTGAATGCAATAATCTGTCATACAGAATGGAATTGTCAGAGCCTGACAGGAATCCAGGGCTTAAAATCCATGAGCACATGCTCAGCAGCTGACTCTGAACTCTCTGCTATTGCATCATCCTCTGCTGGCCATGAGCGCCCCTGCAGGAATGTTCATGTCTGGGTTCACACTGAAGTTCCCTCATGGTGTTTCTTGCAGAGTTATACCTGACCATGTCCTCAGTTCTCAGGCTGTTCATTTGCAGGTGCAGCTGGTTATTGGGAATGTCTCTGAAGATGGTGAATCTGCCTTTCACAGGGTCTGCCTAGTTTGTGTTACACCCATTGTAGCTAATTACTCCAGCACACTCCAGCCTCTTCCCTGGAGTCTATCAGATACAGTACATCAAGTATTTATGGAAGGTGAATCCAGGTAAGTCTCAGGGACCCCCAGGATGCACCAAGCCTCTGTAAGACTCCATAAGCTTCACCTCACTCAGGACACTAGCAAAGAGAGAATCGAGGTAAGAAAACCTCACTGTTCCTCTCTTACTTTTTCTTAGACACTCAGTGTCCCTTGTTCTGCATAAATCACCTTTTAAAATAGGGACAAGGAAAACCCATCTCAAGCCCAACACCATGGTAAGTAGTCTTTGTTCTGTGCTGATTATTGAAGCAGGTTATTTGGGAATCCAGTGCTGGTCTTATCTCTGAGAGCTGCAGTGTCAGGGCTGGGCTTAGTTACATGGGCAGAAGGAGGTATTATTTTCCTGTATTCTTAGAATTTTAGAAATTTCTGTGCTTGGATATCTAAAAAGACTTTGGAGAAAAAAGAAAAAACATGGAAAGCATGTGTGTGTGTGAATGTGAGTGAGTGTGAGTGTGAGAGCATGTGACTGTGTTAGTGTGTGACATTATGCATGTGGTAGGGTGTATCTGTGACTGTGATTGTGAGTGTGCTTCTGAATGTACGTGACCATGTGTGAGAGTATATGTGAATGTGTGGTAATGTGAGTGTTAATGTGAATGTGAGAGCATGTGACTGTATGTTAGTGTGTGACATTATGCATGTGGTAGGGTGTGTCTATGACTGTGACTGTGTTTCTGAGTGTAAATGACAATGTGTGAAAGTATATGTGAGTGTGTGTGACTTAGTGTCAATATGACTTTCTTCATGTCCTTCTGGGCAAGTATTAAAAACTATGTGGGGGATTGTCCGGAATTTCTTGTGGTTAAGTGGGAAGAGGAATCCCTGGATGGATTCAGGAAACACTTTTCTGACTTCTCTTTGCACCTGCTTCTCAGGGTCCTTCCTTGGCTGAGGTGTGAGCGCCCCCTGGTGTCCTGCAGGCTGATGTATGTCTGGTGATATCCTGTTCTTGGTTACTAGCTGGGAGTTCACTCAATACTGGGATCTGAGCCTTGTATCAACTCAATGTGACCTCACACTGAGTGCTGGTTTCCTCCACAGAAAGGTCGGACATCGTCTGTGTGCCCTGGACCATCACTCACGTTACTGGAGTTGACTTCCGGCAAATATAGTGTTTTACTATGCAATTGATAATCATGTTCCTGACTATGCACTTGACTGACTTGAAGACTTATGTCCATAGTGAAACTGCACACTTGTGTTTGTAGCATTGCATTTGAATGATCATCTGAAGATATTTTCAACTTCACAGCTCACTGGGTGACTTATGTTGATGTTATTGAAATACCTGGAAACTACTACGGATCTCCCTTCATATTGTATGATCTGTCAGGGAAACAACTGGCTCTCCATGGCTGTTCTAGAAAGTTATTGAGTGAAGGTCTTGAGGCCACACTGATAGTGGACTGAATGCTCAAAACACTTATTCTCTGGGTATGTTACCAAGAGTGGGGAAGGCTGTGTGGGTAGGATTTGGATAAGTGTTTGAGCCAGTCTCTCCTTTTTCCATCAACAAAAACCAGTTCTATAAGTACTAAATTCTGCTAAATAAAATGGCACAATCACTGTGGTATTTTCATAGGAATAAAGTTTAAATATCATGAAATAATCCTTCTTCTTGCTTCTTATCCAATGGATTTTTCATATATGTTTCCATGACAACAAACACATGGCTGTTGGTGTCAGTACAGGTTTGATTAAGAAAATGTGGTATTTCCAGGTGTTGGTGGCTCACACCTGTAATCTCAGCTACTCAGGAGGCAGAGATCAGGAGCATTGCAGTTCGAAGCCAGCCCAGGCAAATAGTTCATGAGACTATCTCTAAAAAGCCTGTCACAAAATATTGGGCTGGTGGAGTGGCTCAAGGTGAAAGCCCTGAGTTCAAGCCTCAGTACCACAAAAAAACTGAAAATGTGATATTTCTGTACCATGATATTTTATTCAGTATCAAAATGGACTTTTTGTCATTTGCCAGTAAATGGGTGGAACTGGAGAAGATCATCTTAAGTGCAGTTAGCCAGGTTCAGAAAGTCAAAACTTTGTGTTTTCTCTCCTATATACAATATAAACCTAGTATAAATAAAGCAATATTTTGTAAAACAGGTCACCCTAAGGGGAGTTCATATACAAGTGATGGAAGCACAATAGGAGGTTAAGAAGGTCAGTATGGTTGATGCACTTCCTACAGAAGAATAAATATTAAATTTTTAAACCTGTTGAACTTTCCATAAGACAGGGCCTAGGGGATAAAGGAAAAGAAATTAGGTATGAACCAATTCAGGTTCTTATACATATATCCATGGAAATGTCACAAAGAAACACCTTGTGTAACAACCTTAAACAAACAAAGATGTCATTAAAAAAGTCAAAACAGGTTCTTTCTGGGGAATTGGAACCCATGGATGGAGGATATGAGGAAATGGTGCAGGAGAATGAATATGGTTGAAAGATCATATACTTATGAATGTAAATGGAAAAATGAGCCCTTTTGTAACTTTCCCAGAAATGGTGGAAAGAGGGATAAAGGAGAATGATGGACGAAGTGAGTTCAACTATGATATATAGAAGGAACTTTTGTAAATGTTGCAAAGTATCCCTAATACAACAAAAATAAAAAATAAATAAGTAAAACATTGTTAATTGGGAACATCCCAGGACTCTGCATTTGGCTTGTAGGATGTCTGGGGTGTGAAAGTTTCCCAAACCATCAGACTGGACTAATAGCTCTGTTTTTCTTTTCCTCAATTAATTAACCTCTTTCCTTACACAGGTCTTCATCCTCATAGTCTGTGTCATCTTAGCCCAAGCCAGCTGCCTTGTCCTTCAGGTTTTTTGACAGACTCAGCATGTGGTTTTCACAGTGTGTCTTGCACAGTAATACACAGCTGAGTCATCAGCTGTCAGCCTGCTCAGCTCCATGAAGGCTGTGCTGGAGGATCTGTCCACTGTCAGGGTCAGCCTGCCCTGGAAGTTCTGTGCATATTTGGTCTTATCATTCTCAGGGTCAATCTGGCCCATCCACTCAAGTCCCTGACTGGGCCTCTGCCTCACCCAGTGCATATAACTGTTGGTGAAGGTGAACCCAGAGGTCTTGCAGGACACCTTCACTGAGGCCCCGGGCTTCCTTAACTCAGCCCCAGGCTGCTCCAGCCGTACCTGAGCGTGCACACCTGGGGAGAGTGGATAAAATGTGTCAATCCCATTTCAGACTAGGTCTCCTCCCCATTCCTGGAATGGTGGAGTCCCTTACCTATTGCTGCTGCCACCCAGAAGAGGAAGAGGAAGCTCCAGGTCATGGTGGGGAGCTGTTCACGGGATTCTAGAGATGAGGGAGACAGTTGTGGGATGCTCAGGGCACAGTCCTGTGTATATTTACCATGAGGATCTCACATAATTTGCATATTCATGATGGTGGGTATGTCTTAGGTGAACAGCTGATCCTGCCTGAAAGGAGGCAGTTATGTTATACCTGAGCCAGGTACCAGCAAGATGCAGAGGTTCATGTTCTAGTCCTGTTGAGTTACTGCATCCTCTGCCCCATCCTATCCTTGGCTGAAGCCAAGAAACATGATGTTTTAAGCTGATAAATTTGGACTGTGGATACGTGGCAAGATGTAATTCTAGATCCTGAGAGCTGCTTTGAGGGAACTCCAGGAAAAATGACTGTAAGTCACACAATAAGAGAACAGAGATCCAAGGGCTGCTTTGGGGAAGGAGGTGGCACAGTGACCACAGCAGAGGTATTTCTGGCCCTGCACCAAATACAGGAATTTTGGTGAAGGGTATAAGGTATTCTCCAATTAAAAAGAAAGCTCTAAAACCCAATTCAAGTTATCATACATATAGACATGGAAATGTCACAAGGATATTCTCTCTACGTCTATCCTCAAATAAAAATGTCATTTTTTCAATTACAAAATCTAAAAACAAGAGGGTGCAACATGACCTGCCTGGACGGGTGGTACCAATAGGAAGTGGGGGAGGATAGAGGAAAGCCTATAGGAGGGTCCATATAGGGAAAATACTGTGTATACATGTATGTAAAGAAAAATATGAGACCTGTTGAAACTATTTCAGTAATGGGGAAGGGGACAAAGGAGAATGGTGGAAAGGGTGTATACAACTATGATGTGTTTGACATGTTGTAAGAACTTCTGTAAATACCACAATGTGCCCCATGCAGAACAAAAGTAAAAAAATAGTCTTCGTCTAGAACAACATCCAATAATCTGTTATACAGAATGGGCTTGTCAGAGACTGACAAGAAATCAGCACTTAAACTCCCTCTGCATCTGCTCACAGGCTGAACCTGAGCTCTGTGCTATTGCATCATCCCTCGCTGTACTGAGCGCCCCCTGCTTGTTCTGAGCACCCCGCAGGAAGGTTTAAGTCTGGGCTCACACTGAAGTCCCCTCAAGGTGTTTCTTGCAGAGTAATATCTGGCCGTGTCCTCAGTTCTCAGGATGTTCATTGGCAGGTGCAGCTGGTTATTGGGATCGTCTCTGAAGATGGTGAATCTGCCCTTCACAGAGTCTGCATAGTTTGTGTTACCACCATTGTAGCTAACTGTTCAAGCACACTCCATCACCTTCCCTAGTGCCTAGCGGACCAGGAACAACAAGTAGTTACTGAAGGTGAATCCAGGTGAGTCTCATGGACCTCCAGGATGCACCATGCCTCCCCAATACTACAGGACCTGCACCTCACTCTGGACACCAGCAAAGAGAATCATGGTCAGGAAACTATGATGCATACCCTCTGGTCCTTTCACTTATTTTTTCTTACCCACTCAGTGTCCCTTGTTCTCCATAAATCACCTTTTAAAATGCCAACAAGAAAAACCCATTTTAACCTATCTTAACCCCAACACCATGTGAGTGGTTTGTGCTCAGTGCTGATCTCTGAATGGGATCAGATGGGAATCCAGAGCTGGCTCCTCTCCAAGTGCTGCAGGGTCAGGACTGGACTGGTTTTCATGAGCAAAGGGAGGCCTTATTTTCCTGTATTCTTACAATTTTAGAAAGTTCTGTCCTTGGAACTCTATAGAGACATTGGTGTTCAGAGATGTAGCATCCTGGGGGTACTTGGTGGCCATGACAGCATATAGAAAATGGTACTTTGTGCTGTGAGATGGAGATCAAATCTCAGTACCCATTGCCTTGCTTTTATTTGTACCTCAATACATTTTTGTTCATCTTTCCTGCCTTACAGTGAATGATAAACCATGGTTGGATCTTTTATGTTTTTAAACTTTTGATATTTAGTTTGTAACATAAAAATATAGGTTAAAATATACTATAAAGACATGATTTGATATATGTATTCTGAAAGCACAGTAGGTCTATCAGAGAATGATCAGTAAATGCATCAGCATTAAATTGAAAGAAATACATTTGATGAATAGAAAATAACTTTTCTTTGGAGACAAAAAAATGCTGAAGGCATATGAGTGTGTGTGAATGTGAGTGTTTGAGCGTGAGTGTGAGAGCATGTGACTGTGTGTTAGTGTGTGTCACTATGCATGTGGTAGAGTGTGTCTGTAACTGTGATTGTGAGTGGGTGTTTCTGAATGTACGTGACCATGTGTGAGAGTACATGTGAGTGTGTGTGACTTAGTGTGAATATGATTTTCTCTATGTCCTTCTGGGCAAGCATTAAAAACTGAGTAGGGTATGGTCTCCAGAGTTTCTTACGCTTAAGTGAAAGGAGGAATCCCTGGATAGATTCAGGAAACACTTTACTGACTTCTCTTTGCACCTGCTCCTCAGGGTCCTTCCCTGGCTGAGGTGTGAGCGCCCCCTGTTGTCCTGTAGGCCGATGTATGTCTGGTCATGTCTTATGCTTGGCTACTAGCTGGGAGCTCACTAACGACTGGGGTCTGAGCCTTGGGTCTCCACCATGTGGACCTCACACTGAGTGCTGATCTCTTCCATACAAAGGTGGGACATCATCTACCATACTCAAAGACCCTTCTCATTTCTTGTCCCCATCTGAACTCCCTCATCTACTCAGGCTCTGGTTTATGTTCCCCAGCACTGACACAAGCACAGCTCATTCTTTTCCTCTATTCCCTCTACAGTGATATTATTTACAGGTGATCTGGACCTGGTTAGATTGTTACCCTGATTCTTTTATAGGAAGACAGGACCTCTCTTGTGCTCTGAGACATTCTGTGTTGCAAGGCACACATGAGCCAGGAAGATAAATACATGTTAGAATGATGTCTGTGGATCAGGCATGTTAATGTTCTCCTGTAAGATACAATTTCATGCTAGCCTGGGCAATATGGGATTTCAGAAACAAAACTGAAAAACAGGCTGGGGATGTGGCTCTAGTGGGCGGTATCTTGATTTTTAAGGCAGGCTGTCCAATCCCCAGCACTGCAGACAATGCTGCCCGTGTTGTGCCTTATTCATAGTCACTATTGCAAGCATTTTGGGGAAGAGAAATTGGCAATCCGCTTTCAGTGCCCTATTTCCCAGATGAGAATTCTGCACCTTCTATGGGATCATTCCCATTAAGCCTCAGCTTCCTCCTGTTCTCCATTGTTATTCCTGGACTTAAACTACTCAGTTAATCATAGATGCTCACATTGTTAAACTACTCAAAATCGATTGCATCTGTAGAGTGATAACTGCACAGCAGTGAGTTAGGACGCCCATTATTCCTTAAGATTCTCCATAAAGATTCACCATTCTCCATAAAATCAAATTTAATAACTTGTCTCCAGACTCCAATAAATTACCTCTACTCTTATATTTGATGTTCAAGTCCACATTGTCCATTGTAATATCACTATGATTGTGGCAGGCAGGATGCTGACATTACTTCCACAGTGAAGAGGGAATGTCAGGAAACCATCAGGAGATTCTTTGTGTACAAAACGCGAGACTTCATCACAAACAACACGGGTTAATTCAAGAAAATCCACTGTTTAGCTTCACATAACTTCTAATAAGACATAAGGGTCTTCCTTATGTCTGCATACCTACCTTGTGAACAAATAGGGTCCTTTTTAGAGCAATTCAAGGACCACACCAAATGTCACAAACAAGTCTCTACACAGTGCACAGATTACATAAAAGATGAGGGTTTTGGGGTTATCTGTCTGGATACTGAATATTCATGGGAACATGTGAATCCCTCAGGGAGATCCTCCATAACGAATTGAGAACTGCACTCAGGCTGTTGGCACCACCCTTTTTATCCTATGGACCCAGGAGAAATAGGGTTCATGCAATCATTCTATCTATGAATCACATGTAGCCAGAACGACTGGCATGTACCACAGACTTGATTTGTTGTTTAGATGGTAATTCACCAAATTTTCATGGAGTATTGTCCAACAATGATCCTCCCTAATACACCCCTCTAGCACCTGCTGAATAAACAAAGCTTAAAAAAAGTTAAACAACCATCAACCTATCAGAAATGGGATGCATATATCCCAGGGTTTCTCCAATCAAAGGAACACAATGAAACTTGTAAAATAAAGGTCATATTTCAGCTGACACTGGCATCACTAGGCCAGCATTAAGGAACTTAGGTGAGCATAGTGTCCTTTTTATGAGGATGACAGACCAAAATCCAGGGGATGCCTCCACTAATATTCTGGAGATTGCAACCAAAATGCATGGCATTGGCCAGATTCTCAACCTTCTTTCACCAACCCAGTCACCTGATGTAAATAAGGAGTACTTGCAACTCACAGCATGTAGACATACAAAGAACCCTCAAATCAACTTTGGATCATCAACCAAGTGATCTTCCCATGTTTCTATGAAGAGAGACCTGAATCTCCCAAAGAAACAAGACAAAAACCCTGTTGTATTACCCAGAATAACACTATAAAACCTGGCTTGAAGCATCTCAAGGAAATGCAGTCTATACCAAATAACAATAGACTTGGTTTATAAGTATCACCTCAAGAGTCTAAGAAAATATCAGCACAGAGACACATTTATAACCTTCAGCCACCAAACAAACAACTTCACCTGGATTCTGTCGTGGCTTGCACAGAGCCCAATAACACACTGTCCATCTATATTTCAGGCCAACCCCTCAGAATGATCTTCAAGAGATTGGACAGTAAAAACCAGAGCTCCAGATTGGTGACAGATAGCTCATCCCAATTTCCTGAGAAGACAGCTCCTTCTGACACCAGCCATCCCAAAGCAGAAACACCTGAGTTTCACTGCACCCATGTCCCACTGAGTGTCCTCTGAGAGGATCTCTAGTCTTCTCTTCCTCTGAGGAGAGTGATGTGGAGTAAGATACCTCCTGGAAGAGAAGACAAATATCCTGTGTCAGGTGACTTGGAGGGGAC